GGGAAAGGCAGGGTAGGACTGAGGTGAAGCCGGGGAAAGCCGCCCCTTCTTGGGGATCTGCGACCGCAAAGAGTTTCAAGCGCTTACTCTTCTGTTATTTAGTTGAGTGTGTCACGTTAAGAAAATGTTTTTGCTTCCTTAAGCCCTCTTCTTCAAACTTGGGCTGGATCAATAGGATACATTTTATTGGGCATGGAAGCTTTAATAGGGTAGCCTTAAAAGCAAGGGGCTCCTTGGATTCTAATTGACTACACCACTTACTTAATGGTGGGAACTTGGCTGAATTACTTAACCTTTTAGTGTTAGCTTAATGGGCATAGTACTATTAGGCATAACAACTATTTCATAGGCTGGCTTTTAAAATTAAATGAGTTAGTGTGGTTAAAATGCTTGGCTTTTAAAATTAAATGAGTTAGTGTGGTTAAAATGCTTAAACTGGCCCAGGAACATAGGAATTACTCTAAATGTTGAACAATGTTCAGTACAATGCTTAGCAGGGGTGTGTGGCTCAGAGCCTATCTGCCTGAGCCCCACCACACAATGAGCACCTGGATTTCTTCCATCTCCAGAGACCACATTTTGAAAATCATCCTGCCTAGACCCCTTCCTGGCTTGAACATCCGGAGACAATATGGCATAGCCTTCAAACACTTGGGCTTTGTTGTCTGACAGAACGTTAAAACCTGTCATTGATATCCACTGGGTGATGTTGGGCAAGTTATTTAACCTCTCACCCTCAGTCTTCTTGATACAGCAGGTGCTCAGTTTCCCTGGGCTCGTGTTTCAGGACATGCTTTTGTGTTTCCAGCCACTCCCTTAGGTCTCAGGTCACCTCCTCTGAGCTCTCCCCTGAAGGAAAGTTACCCGTTGCCAGTTAGACTTATTTTTAGCACCAACAGGGAAAAGTGAGACCACAAGGTGCTGGCTTCTGCAAATCCTGGGCTGGGCATGTGCAATAGAGAGCACAGAGCATTCTTAAATATGCCTGGTGCTCGTGGTAGGGTCTGACCAATGAACATATTCCAAGAAGGGACTGACTGAGCATGTGAAAGACTAAATGTTATATAACTGGGAGCCACCCCCTTAATTGAATATTCATTAGATAGAGAAACTAAAAAGCCAAATCCCAGCTGCGGGCAGGGTTGTTGTTCACTTTCCTGGAGCCACCCACACTTTGCCAACTGAGGGAGGTGTGTATACTTTTCTCTGTATCAAGCTTACTTTCAGCAAGTGGCTGTCCACTCTCTTGAGCCAGCCTGCACTTTTTATTGAACTTTAGTATGTTTTTCTTGCTTTTGTGTTAGACTTGATGTCTGTACTGAACTTATTTTTGTGTTAAACTTAGCGTGGGCCCTGCTCAGTCTCTGGAGCTATGCTACACTCTCTGTGGAACCTGCATTTCTTATCTATAATGTTAAACTTCTCACTTTCTACTGTCACTCTGCCCTTGAATTCTTTCCTGTGGCAGAGTCAAGAACCTGGAAAGAGGATTGGGTGGGTTGAGGCTGACTATCGGGGCCCCCAGACTCTACCTCTGACATCATTCTCATCTGTAAAATGAAGATTTCAACATATTTAAATAGTTATAGGTGATAAAGTCCTGAGTGTACAGACATTGACCAGTAAGAACNGGCAGACAACCCGAGCTCAGTCCTCAGCAGCAGTGCACAGCAGCCTCCAGCAGCAGCAGTGACCTCCCAGAGTGTCCCAGGGACCCTGGCAGCAACAGCCTCCACCAGCAGTAGCAACCTCCCCATGACCTCTCTGGGGGCAACACAGGGGCGGGTCGGGGAGAGCACCCTGGATCAGAGCCACTTGTCCCCCATACTTAAGTCCATAACCCAGGACACCTGGGCACTCACACACAACCACACCAGATGATAATTGAGGCTGACTATCGGGGCCCCCAGACTCTACCTCTGACATCATTCTCATCTGTAAAATGAAGATTTCAACATATTTAAATAGTTATAGGTGATAAAGTCCTGAGTGTACAGACATTGACCAGTAAGAACAAACACTGGAGATGGACTGTTCTGCCATGCTACTTCCAACCTGTAGGAGTCATGATTGTTAAGGAATATTGTGGATAATCCACGTAATTTACTTTTCAGCATTCCTGCCACATAAAAACACTAAATGGTAACTATTGATGTCATTATTTAACTTATTCAGTTTTAAAAATAGTGTGCTTTGAGACTAAATTATTTTGTATCAGTCGATATGAGAGGTGTAACTGAGTCTCCCAGACAGTGAGCATTTTTGAGCTTATTTTGAGAGAGAAGTAGAATCTAGGATGTTTCAAACAACTGTTTGTTTGCTAATTAAGAACACTAATCCTTAAGACTTTTGCCCCAAACACACTGATAATATTGTCTCCATTCCAAAGTGGTGAATACTGGGAAAAATCAGCTCTTTTTCATATAAAAGAATGGGGTCTCATATTTCATAGTCACAGAAAAGGGCAATAGCTCTCTGTTAAAGATCTATGTGGATTGTGGGGGAGATTCTAAGAAATGTCTGTCTAAATGTACTCCTCTAGTCCCTGTTTCTAGCTGTCTACTAAACCAGAAAACTGAGGCTTATAAGGAGAGACCTTAGGCTTAGAGTACTGGCTTAGCAACCTGGTGCTGGACCTCTCCCCATCCCCTGCCTTATGAGCTGGATAGTTATGTGGAGAACAGCATCAGGGCCTAGGTGTGAGGACTTGAATGTGGTGTTTCTAGAAAAGAGCCTGGACCTCAGATCTGTAGACCCCTTAGGAGACCTGTATAAATGAACTTGGGTTCCTTGAATCCCAAGAGGCCAAGAAGAAGCTGAACACTTAGGCTGACTGTACGTGTGCTGAGTCTGAGAGATTATAGAGAGCAAGAAGGTTTTTTCCAGGTGCCTCTGTAGGAAAATGTCAGGCTTTGTGCTTCTTACTCAATGGACAGCAGAAGTAGAGATCTCTTTGTTTCCCCCGTTTGTGGGACTGCTGCCACTTAAAATATTTCATTAACCAGATCTGAACCCCAATGAACTGACAAAAAATAAAAAATCCTAAAAGGATCCACTTGTCAGAGAAACAAATAGAATGTACATCTGAGGAAATTTAACTGAAATGACAGGACAAAATGAATAACCAACAACAAAAGAGCATAAAATATAGCATGAACAAGACGTTTTGAAATCAAGTTAATTCTATTTTCCTAATTAAGCATTTTAACAATTGAAGGAAATGGTGAATTTTGAGCCAAAATGTGTCCTATCTGACTGTAAAGCTACATGACTATGCCAGTTGTCACCAGTTGTCACGTTGAGGCAATAGCTACGCTAATTGTATGGGTAGGCATTTCGTAACTACAGCCAAAATGTTTCATTATTTTAGTTATACTAAGTTTCCGTTTCTGTTGGCAGGGCTAGGGCTCAGACCGTTCAAACCCATTGTACAGACTGTCACTAGACCCCTCACATGCAGGTCCACACTAGGTAGTTGGGAAAGATCCTGGGAGCCATTGGCAGACAACCCGAGCTCAGTCCTCAGCAGCAGTGCACAGCAGCCTCCAGCAGCAGCAGTGACCTCCCAGAGTGTCCCAGGGACCCTGGCAGCAACAGCCTCCACCAGCAGTAGCAACCTCCCCATGACCTCTCTGGGGGCAACACAGGGGCGGGGCGGGGAGAGCACCCTGGATCAGAGCCACTTGTCCTCCATACTTAAGTCCATAACCCAGGACACCTGGGCACTCACACA